ATTATTTTTTCATTGGTTTTTCCAGTTACGAGTCCTTTTTTAAAGCTGATCGTTTTGTGTTCATTTTGTTTACTTCTTTTTTCGTAACAAATTTAAAGTTTAGTATAGAGCTTAGAAAAAATTCACATTGCGAGATAAGCAAGAAGTAAGGCATGTAGCAACATCAGCATGGCAAAGGGCACTCCTTTAAAGGCAAGGAAGGGCAAAAATATTTTAAGTCAAGTGATACTGATTGCTGTACGAGTCGTATGATTTTTGAATCAAGCATGGGCAACGCCGGGTCATGCTGCTAGTTCTTTATAAAAAACGGCTTGTTCATACTGACTAAAACACTTTAGAACAGAACAAAAACATGAACATGGATAGTTTATCCACAATTTTGATCCAATTTTGATCCAGATGTGCCATAACTTATTTGAAAATCAGAAAACAATAAAAAAAATTAAATAGAACTTGTTGGTTGAATATAGTAATCTTATTATTAATAATGTTATTTTAGTGGATACACACAGATTAGATTTCCTTATCTGTCTGTTTACAAATATTGAAATTAATGTATGGTATTTAATGTTGTGTGTTAGTATATGATAGGTGGTGCTACATGTTCACATGGAAACAAAGAAGAAGAATACAAAAACTATACTATTGTAGCGAGCATCATCGCCATCACACATACATACATACAGATCATATGGCAAGCATCCATTGGCTAATCTCCTCAAAACTAGCTTGCTGATTGATCAATTCCGACCAATCAAATTGCCTGCACACGAATAATTTTCCTGCAAACAAAGCTGGAGCCTGTCATGTGGGACACAGCCTTATATAAACAAAACACGAATTTTCCTTGCTGCCAAGATATAATCTACAAGAGCTCCCGTCTTAACTGTGCGGTCAGACGTTAAAGATCATTGCCAACAACTCTTACCGATTTTCTCGCAAATCGTCAGTAGAGTCCATCTATTTACGCCTGTCTACACAAATCCATGAGTTTTACTCACAACGCACACACAGACACAAATTTTTGTATTACATTACACATATTCTTCCACTCTGTGACTAAGCTAAGTTCATGAACCAGAACTCTCTTACTTACTCAAAACAACACACTTCTTAATTAACTGTATTCTATTCTAACACCAGACTCTATTCAACATAGAAACCTGAACATTCTTATTCAAGAGAAATTCTTTTGAACATTCAATCTTAATCAGAATACAGCTGAAGGGAAGCAACTTTTTCTCCCTTAATTACGACACACCATTGCATGATTGTTTTGTATGTTATTGTTTCAATATATATTTATTATTGATGCACAATTGGAGTCTCATTGTTTTTTTTCTGGAATCATTAAATGTATAATAGATAAATGCTCTTAGAACATGCAATTACATTTGATAACATCAACACATAAACCCAAGCAGCATTTACACTATGGACCATTTATTCATTTTTTTTATAGTGGAAACTGTAAGGAAACAAAGTTCTCAATGTCTCTTGAGTATATTTCTTTTCTTTTTCTGGTCCTGAAATACATTAGGGTAAGAATGGCTGAACTCAAGTCAGCCTTATCCTGAGTTGGAATGACCATAGTAAACCTTATCTTACTTCATTGGTGGAGTTTTGGCGAAATACATACGAATGTTGTGTGTTGGAAAATGGAAAGAGAGTCCAGTCATCATTGGACCAGGGAAATGAATATGTCCCAGTGGAGACACCTTCATCTATGTTCTGATACATCTTGGAGCAAGGAAGAGGAAAGAATTTTTTTGTCTTTTTATAGACTTTAAACAGCACCACCTAATGGGCATTTGTAGAAACCAAGTTGGGTAATAACATTTCTGGTTCCTTTATTACTAGCATCATGGGAAAATGTATTTCTTTTTTTTTTATTTATTATTATTATTATTATTTTATCTATTGTTCTTATTTAATTTTCCCAGAAATGTCTACCAGCCTAGATCATTGAAAATGTTCTTTAATATACCCCTCAGCAAGAATTGTACTTGCATTCACTTTTTTCTGGGAAACTACCTTTTAGCTAGACATCCTTTATTGTTAGTGTTAGGCTGTGGGGTCATTTATATAATAAATGTGAATGTCAGTATGTCACTATGTCAGACTTTTTCAATTAAAGGGACACAACTCTCTAACTTTCAATAGCTCATCTTCTATATAATAAATACAAATATCAGTGTGTCACACTTTTTCAACTTTACTCCTAGAGGCTGTAGCCCAACATATTATACCATTTTGGAATTAGGCTGACTCCATGAGCAAATTAAAACTTTCCGGGAAGGATCTAGACCATCAATCTTGAAATTCTGGATTCCCAAGTTTCCCTTACTGTGATTGTTTTGTTTTTTTGTTTTTACATGATTTTTTGTGACAAATTTTTTAGAACAATAACAATTTTTATAATTTGAAAATAAATTTGGGAATAATCAAAATTAACTGTGAAATTCAGCAAAAGTCACTTATGAAATAAAAATAATTGTTTGTATGGAAAGTTGTCTTTAAATTAAGTGGCAGCAGAAGAATTATTGTTGAACTCTTAAAAGGTAAGCGTAAATATTAAGGCAATACTTAAATGCAGCAATCAATTTTGAGTTCTTCTGTAGTTTATTGTTGCCTGTCACATCTACTCCTCCCTATCTATTGTGATGAAGGCCCAATAAAGAGCCCTACACAGGAGCTAGCTTAAACGCCACCTGATAAGGCGGCTTTTAAGCTGGTAGGAAATAAACCCCATTTCCAAGAAAATTACATACCCTCATACATGCCATATTCAAACATGTCCAAACTTTATTTTCTACTCAAAAACAGGCAATATTACAAACATGCCAAAAAGATTCCACAACACACACTGTTTAAATCAAAGTGTCTATATAGATTAGAAATTAACATCACAAATCACAGAAAACTAGAATCCTATTTTTCTTGAGCCTACTTTCAGGAAAAATTTCTGATAAAAATCCACAGATTTTAACTTTCAAGAGCAAAGATGCCACTGTTAAAAGCATGTGCTGAAAGAAACATGTCAGTGACTTCAAATGAATCATCTCCAACAAAGAGACAGTAGACTCGTCCTTTCCTACCTATCACCCCTAGTAACAGAACAGTCTATACCTTACGCCTACATATGGAAAACTTCGACCAATAAAAAACCGTACTAGGCGAATCAACAAATGTCATTGGTTAACGACACAATAATCTGAAAGTCTCACGTGCAAAACGAAATTGCACCAAAACTTCTTTGAGCCGATTTTGGACTTTCAAAACATATAAAAGAAAATACTGACTGACCAGAGACGAACATCCACAGAGAAATTGCCAACATACTCCATGTCACTTGAAAACACGACTTTACTGCGCAAAAGTACATCAACGCTGACTCACTTGCAATTTAAACTCGACCAACTCTGTGGACATCAAATTGCAAACCTAAAACAACTTTGCTTATCCAAAGTGAACTATACTCACTACATTATTAAGTAAAAATCAACATTCAAACGCTTCAGAAATATTACAGTCAAAGGTAGACCACTCTATAAGAACTCATTCCTAAAAACACTTAACATCGACATTTTTAATGTTAATTAACACAATTCCAGAAAGACTGTAACTGAACATACAAATACAAAAAGAGACATACCGAAACCTCAAATATCATACACACTTCGCCATAGTAACATATACCAAAATATCCTGTATATATATTACTTTTAATTGTATATAAATGTTTTCTTGGTTTCTAAATTGAATATGTCTTGTTTTTGATTGTATTTAAAATTCGTTTATTTATTTGTTTGTGGATGCAGAAAGTCACGCAACCTACACAAATTCCTTCTGATTCATTCAATTACAATTAATTAATTCTGTACATCCCCAACAGTGAACCTTCACTAATGATAAAAGTTTGTTTTTTTTTCAACCACAGATTTTTTTTCTATGGACCAACTATTTAAAAGTCTTCTAAATTATAGATTTTTCTGTGTACCAACTACCCAAAGACTATATAACTCAAGACTATTTTTACTCGTTTTTGACTCTTTTGAATTCATGTACATATGTTTGTGAATACAAATGATTTTTATTAACTCAGGTTTTCTTTATTTTTTATTTTATTATTATTTGAAATTCAGACGTTCGGATTTTTAATAAAAAAAAAAACATAGATGATTGAATTTCGTACAGGGTCCTTATAACAAGGTGTGGTTCAATTATTTATTTTATTTTTTTCTTTAAATGTACATCTCTCATTGGTATAGCCATTTTAATTATTAAAGTTTTTTTTTTTTTTTACTGTGAAAAAAGCAAGAGCAAGTATTTGTAGAAAAGTTGTAGTTTTTTTTATTAACTATGCATGCCATAGTTGCTTTTTTTTAGTTAGAAAATATAATGCAGGAAAATCTATCAGCAATAAATAATAATGTCAAAATAACAAATAGAAAAAACAAAAATAAAATTATATTTTGTTGAATAAAAGGTTATAGTTTTGAATAAAAGTACTTTATGTTTGAATAATTTTGGAAAATCTGTTTTGTCCACCCTAAAAATAATAAATAAAATATATTAAAAAAAAAAAGATTTTAAAAATTTACAACTACTCTTTAAATTTTAAAACAATGTATTTTAAAAAGAAAATAACCATATGAAATTCGTCCAGATTGTTTTTTTGTTGAGCTTCGCTTTTTAAGTTTTTTAACAGATCAAATGAATTACAAACCAACTGAATAGGGAATCGCTTGATTAAATCAATATATATATATATATATATATAATATATTTATATATATATAAACTTAAAACGTTTTGTGATATTGCATCTCTCGACCAATGTTTTGTAATATTTGATATATAGTGAAAAAGAAGAAGAAAAAGCAGGCATGACAATAAACAGGCAGAACACGTGCTTCTTGATTTTCACAGCAGATGGGGTGGCGGTAGTTGGGGGAGAATCCGGAAATGACGTCATTTGTAGCCTTTGACCTCGTAACATGATGGCGGACGCCGACTTAGATGAAGAGATCTCCGCTTTGGTAAGTTTATTTTTTTTTCTTAATATTTCAATGACGACAGCTACAAAATTTGGCATATGGTAATGGATAGCAATGTCTTTTTGTCATTGCCAAATTGACATTTGTGTATCGCAATAGGGGTTTACGTATATTAACAGGTCTGGGAAGCTGTGATGATATATCTATGTATATGTGTGTGTATTGTTGATTGAACAACGGTGATGAGGTGGAGGTGTGAAGAAAAAGGTAAAGAAAAGAAGAAAAAAAAGATGTGTCTTCTTGTTGCATTTGAAATAATAAAGATAAATAAATGTAATTTATTCATTCTTATTTGTATTTTGTTGAATGACCTGTTGTAATCTCAGGAACACTCCTTTCCTTCTTCTTAAAGATGAAAAGAGAAAGACATTTTTTTTTTTTTTGTTGAGGTCCGAATAACGATTGTCGAAATAAAATAATGAAAGATAAAATATTTGTTGCTAAATTTTAATTTAAACATTTCTAAAAATAAATGAAGGATAAAAACAGTATTTTATTCTCAGTCCAAAAATATTGTTTGGTTCATTCTGTATATTTTTTATTGATTTCTTTCATTTATTTATTATTAATATTTACAATCTCTCTGTCCTTTTTGACTAAAAAAATGTCAGCTGATTAATTTATTCTTCTTTCTAACAATTCTTTTTCATTTGTTACGAATTTCCACGCTAGTAAATATAGTAGTAAATTCTCGCAATACCATTGTACAAGTTAGTAGCAAATTGTAGTTAAGTCATAATAATAACCAATAATAAATTTCCTTTCCTTAATTTTTGAAATGTTTACTTTTAACAATTTTTTTAAAGATTTATAAACTTTGCTTTCAAATAGAAGCAGTTATGTTTGAATCAAAGATATTTTTTTCAATTTAGGTATTAATTACATTAATAACTAATTATTAATTAATTAGTATTTTTTATAATCTAATTTCTTTAATAGTATTAATAAATTAATACTATTAATTACTGGTTTCATTGTCATCTTATCATTCATTCTAGCGAGAAATCTCTATCAGAAAAGAAAATCCAGCGAAATTGCATTATTAATTTTCTGATTTCAAAAAAAAAAAAAAATCCTCATATTCGTAAAAAAAAAAAAAAAAAAACCAGCCAAATTCTGAATCTCTTTTTTTTTTTCTTTTATGTTTAGTTTATCAAAACATACAAGGTCAATTTTTTATTTATTTTAACCCAAAAGTTTATAAACATTTTAAAAATAAGAGAAAATTCTTTTTTGTTGTTTGAGTTTATTGTTAGTATAGTAATGTATTATTGAAAGATCAAAAATAATATATTTGATTTTTTTATTGATTAGTGACTGACTGATTATTTTTTTTTACTGTTGACCTTTTCAAGATGAAAGAAGAGAGCTTTTTAAAAATATTCTTCTTTTGTATTCGTTAAACTTAACTTGCAATGAAAAACTAATCCTAAGATGAACATAAATCTATTTTTATTCTCTTAAAAAAATCAAATTTATCCTCTTTCAGATTAGTTAAATTAAAATTTAAATAATTTATTAAATTTGTTCTTTCAGATTAGTTTAAAAATTAAATAACTGAATTTTCCTTTTTCAGGTTAAATTAAATAACAATTTGTTCAAATCCTTGTCTTAAAACGTAATAAAAAGAAAAGGTATTTTTGTTTGTTTTTTTTTGTTTCTTAAAAAACGTAATCAATATTAAATTTAATTTAAATTACTACTAGTATATACCTTGCTGTATTTTTTATTTGTGCTTTAAGTGAAAAAAACCGTAAGACAACCTCGACATTCAAGTGAGGTCAGTGTAAGGTTACTTATATTTACTTCTTTAATTTTACTTTAAACAAAAAAAAAACCTTGATTTAATTATAAGAAAACTTATAACATTTTTAAGAATGGTTGAGAAATTTATTTTAATTTTGTGTGGTACACCGCCAAATTTATTTATTTATTTTTTGCTGTGCCCCCAAAGAATATATTACTTACTCAATGATTTTATTTTTATTTTAAAAAAATATTTCATGACAGTGATTATTAATTAATTGATTTCCTTGTTTTTATTTAGTTAGTCATGTGACCAAAATGGAGGCTGATAAAAATGGTATTATCCTGAAGTTTACCTACTTTAAACATTTTTTAGTGTCCATCACTATTGTTCAATTTTTGAAATTTTTTCATTGAAAGGCCTACAGTAAAAAAAAATATCTCGGTTTTTCTATGTATTTAACTTTATGTCTGTGATTCCTTTTATTAAAAAAAATTACACAAAAACTTAGGTTTCTACTCATAAAATAAGACATAGCAGTTCTAGAATTTAGTTTTCTCTTCTGGTGACAGTAAGATTATATTCCTGTGTTGTGATATACGTATAATTCTTTGTATTCATTAGAGTTAATTATTATCCCTTCTTTTAAGAGCTTCTGTACTTCGTTCCGAATAAATAATAAACAAGAGCAAAGCAAAGAGGAAAATAATGGTTACTTTTCTGAGACCTGGTCGATTTGAGGGATCGTCGGAGACAACTGCTGATGAATGGAATCACTGGTATTGTACCCTTGTCAATTGCATCGACTCTCTGACAGTAGCTCACCCTGACAACCCTCCTAACAAGCTCAGCATACTAATTAATTATATATCACCTAGAGTCTATTCCCTGATATCAAACTGCACGACATTCAAGAACCCCATTAGTATTCTTCAATCTACTAATGTCAAACCAGTTAATTCTGTATTTGCTTGCCACTAGAAAACAGCAGCCAGGTGAATCTATTGATCAGTTCCTTCTAACTTTAAAAAATCTTTCCAATGATTGCAAATTTGAAGATGTCACTGCTTCTCAGCATGCCGAACAAGCAATAAGGGATGCTTTTATCACAGGCCTCACTTCCCCAGTGATATGGCAGAGACTATTAGAAAGCTGTGAAATTAATTTGGATAATGCGGTAGCAACCGCGAGAAGTATCGAAATGGTCCAACACAATGCAGCAGCTTATGCCACTTCATTAGTTGTAACAAAGCATCAATTTATCCAGAAGAATCCAGAAATAAAGAATGTGCTGCTACTACCAGAACTAATCAAACAGTTTGTTACGCCAAATGTCAATTCTGCGGGTGTGAGAATCATTCTCGATACAATTGCCCAGCAAGAAATGCTGACTGCCTTCACCTAATATAAAAACCAGCACTGCTTTTATTGCTCTCACAGCTTCATCCCAATACACACCCTGCACACAATGCTCCATAGTAGTGGCAACTATAAATAACATTCGTCTGAAAGCCATGGTAGACAGCGGAAGCACTTACAATTTCATAAACGTTGTGAAATCACTTGGCCTTCCTATACTACCTTCCAGTGACACAGTAAGTATGGCTTCCTCTAATCTCACGAGCAAAACCCAAGGTCACTGTATTGCATCCATCGCAATTAATGGACAAACATACCCTGATATGCATCTGTCTGTTCTGCCCAATTTATGTACTCCTGTCATACTTGGACAAGAATTCATGCAACTACACAACCGTGTGGAATTCCTTTTTAATGGAGATATACCTCCTTTACAAATCTGTAACACCGCTTAGATGAAAATAGAGCCACTTGCTCTTTTTGCCAATTTATCAGATGACTGTAAGCTAATTGCAACAAAGAGCAGGAATTACTCTGCATCTGATTGCGAATTTATTCGGAACGAAGTACAGAAGCTCTTAAAAGAAGGGATAATAATTAACTCTAATTCCCCATGGCGAGCCCAAGTCTTGGTGACTCATAATGAAAGGCATAAGCGTCGCATGGTCATTGACTATTCTGCCATTATCAATCGCTATACTTTCCTCGATGCATTCCCTCTTTCAAAAATTTCAAACATTATACGCCATCTATCTCAATATAAGATTTTCAACAAGTTAGATTTGAATATCACCAATGCCCTATCCGTGAGGAGGAAAGAATTTATACAGCCTTCGAAGCTGACAGAGGCCTGTACGAATTTTCTCTGTTACCCTTTGGATTAACAAACTCTGTAGCTGTATTCCAACGTATCAAGCATAACATAATCCGAGAACACGAACTTAAAGGCACCTTCGCCTATATTGATGACATTGTCATCGGGGGAAAGACAAATAAGGAATTGAATGAAAATATGGGGGCATTCAAAGAAGTTGCTGGTCGTCTCAATTTGCAACTGAACCCTGATAAATGTGAATCACCAAACTTAAGTTTCTGGGGCACCTGTTGGAGAATGGAACAATCAGTCCTGACCCAGACAGAATTACACCACTCAAAGAACTACCGACTCTGAACTGTGGTAAGTCACTCAAACGAGCGCTGGGTCTCTTCTCATACTACTCACCGTCGGTGGAGAATTTCTCTGACCGCATTTCACTTTTGCTAAATATCTCCTCATTTCCTATTGCCGAAGAACTCGAGTCAATTTCAGGCAATAAAAGATGAAATTTGTAAGGCTTCGGTTGTGGCCATTGAGGATGAAGTTCCATTCACAATAGAAACAGATGCATCTACGATAGCATTGGCGGCCTGTCTCTCTCAGAATGGACACCCAGTAGCATATTTTTCTAGATCTCTTACGCAATCTGAGCGTCAACACTCAGCAGTGGAGCGTGAATCGGCAGCCATTGTAGAATCTGTTCGTAAATGGCGTGATCTTTTACTCGCCCGATACTTTACTATCGTTACAGACCAACAGGCCACCTCATATATGTTCAACACATGGGCACCAAACCGTATTAAAAACGATAAGCTACTTCAATGTAGACTTGAACTTTTTAACTACTCTTATGATATTGTATACCGACCAGGTTCACTTAATAGCTCTGCAGATTCTCTTTCCTGTTCATGCTCTGCTTCATGTTCATTATCACTAAAAGATCTTCACACAGCACTCTGTCATCCAGGAGTAGCGAGACTGTATCATTTTGTTAAACAAAAGAATCTGCCTTTCTCTATGGAAGATGTTAAACATATCTGTGCTGAATGCCAAATATGT